ACAATAGTATTAACAAATTTGGATTTACATCAAACAACAACAAAACGACCTTATCTCTTTTGAAAATGACTTAATAAACACAATCAATAATTTGCAAATAAGAAAATTTAACAATAATTTAAAAAAAGAAACATGAAAAAGGTTAAAAATGACAAACAACTAAAAAAACTATTTATAAAAGCAGATAAATCCAAAATGGAAACCAACAATTTCATTAAACTAATTGACAAATAAGTCACTAAATTTTACAAAACCACAAAAATCGAAAGAGAAATTGATATAAACAAAGTTAAAATCATAGCCACTAAACTAAAATTAGACAATAGAATAAAATAACTAGCAAAAGTAGAAATGTTCATTAAATTAAAAAACCATTAAGACAACTTCACGACCAAACCAACATGCAGATTACTAAACAGCACAAAAAATAACATGGAGAAAATAAGTAAAAAATACTAGAAAATAAGCAATGAATTGCCGATACACACTGACGAGTGGACGAAATGGTCCACACACGAAACTCTGGAGTCGGGATGCTGAAGTTAACATCAATCAGCTCAGTGACAAACCTTTACTTGTATTAAGTCACGTTCCTCACTTTCTCTCACACTCACACACACACACACACACACACACACACACACACACACACACACGGGTGACAATATATATACATGCTCCTGATTATTTCAGTTGAATTTCTTCGGAGAGAAAAGTGAATTTGTAAACAGTGACTATTACTACTCCTGCTGATGCAAGACTCTTCGTTAAGACGAATCGAATTCGCCGATCATTGGCGTATTTGTCTAAAAATAAAAGCGTATAAATTTACCTTCATCCCTGCCGTGAGCCAATGGGTAAAATCTCCGACTGCTATCAAATCAGTCGGGTTTCGATCCCAGCTTGAAGCAATTGGATGTCTAGCCACACTGATGAGCTGTGAAACAGCGAATCAGTCTGTCTGTGGATGACTATATATATATATATATATATATATATATGCGCCATTGATGCCTGCACCTTATGTAATATCAGAATATCGGCAACTAAGAAAAACTTTAGTAAAAGTTTGTTCAGTTTGAGGAAAATAATATTGGAAGGTAGTAACCAAGACATCGTATGTTGTTTTTTAGGAGCCGGCCATGAAAGCTGTGGAAGGGAAAAGAATGGTAGAGAATAAGAGCACGGAATCGTTCCCCAGAAGATATTTTCCGTATTTTATGATGTAATATTTGATTAACTGAGCCATGAATTTCTATAATGGAACACAAAACATTTGCGGTAGATCAAAAAGGATCTCTATTCCGTAACAGTAGTATTGAAAGGCTCTCTATTACTTTCTGTCTTTCCCCCTCTCTATCTCTGTCTCACTCTATCTCACTCTCTCTATATATATGTATATATGAAAAAATCTACAATTACGTGTAAAAACGCTCAATATTAAAAAGAGAGAGTATATAAATATAAAAGAGGATATTGGGGTCAATACCAATGCAATATTCCTCAATTCAGATGGCCTGAACATTGGGTTCAAACATGAAACAAACTGTCGTCTTAGTGTCAATTTCCATGATATATATATATATATATATATATATATATGTGTGTGTGTGTGTGTGTGTGTGTGTGTGTGAAGTATAAATTGTCGTCTAAATTACGCACAAATGAAATTAACCCCCTCTTGACCAAGGGCGGCACTATATCCTGAAGGCATTTCATATAGGCCTCCGTGTTGAGTCTGAGGTTCTCACCAACGAATTCGGGAGTTCTTTTCTTACCAGAAAGATCAGAGTGAGTATTCCGAGCTGTCGTTGATTTGTAATCATCATTAGTCTGATTCAGGCATTAGATTGACACCTAAACATTCTGAAATATTCGCAGTACAGCATCTCGTTTCCAAATTTGGGGAGGAAGAATTGCGTCATGAATTGCGCCCAACCGATCCTACTATACTGTGCAGTCAACAAAATCAAAAACAAACAACGCGCATGCGCTTAATTAAAAATATAATCCTGTTCTAGCAATATATTTTCATAGAAAAATATATCAGCAATAGTTTTTCATAGAAAAATACCAGCAATATATTTTCCTAGAAAAAAAAATTGACAGCCATATATTTTCATAGAAAAAAAATTACCAGCAATATATTTTCAAAGAAAAAAAATTATCAGCAATATATTATTGAAAAAAAAATTTACCAAAGCTCCCAAGAAAATTAAATTTCGTTATTAGATAGTAAACCAACAGACTAAACAACCAGCTATTTCTTTGTAGCTATCAGCGCTAGTGGAAATATCCGGATATCGTCAATGCTTTCTTATTTCAGAATGGAAATTCTGGATCATTTGCTGGTTAGTGTAATTTCTCTTTTGATAAGAGAACGTCGAAATTTTGTGTTATTAATATTGTTGCGGCACTGCTTCTAATTTGACTAAAAGCAATGGCGCAACTTATGGTGACCCCGACGGAAGTCACCGTATGTTGCTGAACTGCTTCTAGTGAGACTAAAACCAGTGGAAAATATATTTTACGCAAATAAATAACGGGTGGAGGAAAATGGAAAGCAATTTAAGGAAGGCGATATTTTATATATTTGTGTTTATATAACTGAGTAATAAGAAAATACACTGGTATGTAGGCAAAAGAAAATAAGTTAGGAACTGTACGGGTGATAATCATGTGTGTTCGTGAAAGTTCAGTCATTCGAAGATAACCCATGCTCGGGAACAATGTCCCGTTGGTGTTGTCACTAAAGCATGCTAGGAAGAAAAGAAAGAAAGAAGAGGACAGGAAGTGTTCCGATTTTATAGTCTTTTGACAGCGCCACCTTACGAATTCTTGGCGAAACTTAGTGAAGATAACCCACATTATTTTTCTTTGCAGCAGGGTTTGTAATGTAGTAAAAATAAAATCTAAGATGTCGTGTCCAACATAAAAAAGGTAACAGTAAAGCGGCTTCTAAAGTGAACTTGTCGTTGATTGTCTCGCATTAAAAATATGAATTTTGCTTACTAATACTTTATTTTGGAACAAGGTTACAAGTATTGGGTACCCAGTGAGGATTGAAAGCACTACAGAGTAGTAGTAACCGACCCAAAAGAGCACGCCAACCATTAGCCCAAGGCTTACTTCGTCCCAAAGCGGCCGAATGAAAGGAAAACTAATTTATGGTTTCTGTTGAAAAACATCTATGCATGTAAATTCTTTAGGGAAATGAATATTGAGCTCAAAATAAGCAGCTATCGTAGCTGAGGGAGTCGAAGAGAAAAGGCCGGAGTCAATCAAAAATAATTTCGTAACTTACTCGGAATCCTTTGTAGAGATTATAAACAGCTCAATGGTCTAATGTTTGATATAATCTAGTGAATGAAAATATCTAAGTGGTGTCGGCAAATGCTAGCGTGGAACCACCCACACGTATATATATATATATATATATATATATATATATATATATATATATATATATATATATATATATATTACGTTTAAAAACACGTTTTTTATATATATATATATATATATATATGTGTGTGTGTGTGTATTAAACGTGATTTTCATGTTGGTACAGAGAAAAATTGATGTGATGAATTTCTTTTACAGACTCCCTATTCTCTGTATAGATAGATAGATAGATAGATAGATAGATAGATAGATAGATAGATGCCTATATGTATGCTCACACATCTGCCTAAGGGTATCAGCATAACCGGATACAAATTTATATTTCTTCTGTGGTCTTTACTTTTACTTGTCTATCTGTTTCTATCTATCTATCTATCTATCTATCTACTAATATGATTAAGCACTTATTACATATAGCATATGCATGTATACGAATGTATATAATCTTGTCTGTCTATATATAAATCTTCTTCATTCTATATATATATATATATATATATATATATATATATTATGGCCCGACTAAATGTGTGAGCATATGCATAAATATATAATTATGATTAAAATAAAGGAATCTATCTATGTGTATGTACATGTGTGTGAATAAGTATATAATTATGGCCCAAATGTAAAAATTATTTTGTCTATCGTTTTACATATCTACACACACACGTGTGTGTGTGTGTGTGTGAATTTGTATGTATATGTATGTAAGCATGAATATATATACGTATGGCCCAAATCCTTATCTATCTATCTATCTATCTATCTATCTGCCAGTGTATGTATGTGTATATGTCTGCACACTCTGTATATGTATATTTTTTCTGTTAGACACACAGACAACAGAGGTGTTGATCCCGGCGTCAATGAAGTACTGCAGGTGCCCTGTCCATTTCGCTCTGTTAACAAGCCACTCAACTCGGCCTGACCGTATCATGTCTATCACGCTCCAAGTATCGATCTCCTGCTCCATCAAGATGATGATGATCTGATTAGAGGTTTAGTCGTGGATGTGGGGTAAAATACTGGGCGTTGGCACTGTCGGAGAAGGCGCCAATCCTTCAATATAAATGTGCTTATCTCCAATCTGCAATTTCATCATCATATTTATTCGCTTAAGCAGCAAGCAACTTCTCAAACCCCTTAAAAAGGAAAAGAAACACCTTTTTTTTTTGGTATTTCCACTCGTCCAATGATAAAGCTCCTTATTCTTCCAGAAAGATTTTATGATACTCTTGAAAAAAAAAAGAAGTTTTCTATTACGAAAGCAAAATCATGAATAGTATTTCCTATTTTGCTCTTATACGCCTTATTTTACTTTATTTTATTTGTTTATCTCAAAAGCGAACATTTGCATCCCGTTTTCCTGGATTTGCTATAAAAAAAAAGGAAAAATATTTCTATAGAATATACAAGGAAGTGCTGAAATGAAATAAAATATTTCTCTTGATTATACACGGAGGTGCTGAAAAGTCTTCTACCGGATCCACTTCCCAAAATGTATATTTGAAAACTCTGCTGCTGTAGAAATAATTATATGTCTTATAAAAAAAATACATTATATTGACATTTTCAGTTGTTCCTAGGATTAAGGTCACATCACTTTGAAACCCCCGATTCCCGTACGTTCACCGAAGTTAAGCAATGTCGATATTGGTCAGTACCATGATGGGTGATCGTTTGGGAATACCAACAGCGGTAAGATTGGATATGCGGATGGTGTAATGGATGCTTGGAATTGTTCCAATTCCTGGTGGTTTTCTTATATTTACTTACGCGCAACCACGGTTGGGAAATGTATGAATCCAACTCTTCTCGCCTCCAGCTATGGGTTAATTAGTAAGACTTGTATCTCTAAACAATTATCATCACTAATTTTTTTTTTTAAATTTAAAAATTGTTTCTGACTTTAAATAACCTTCAAAATATTGGAAGGTCGTAGAAAATAAATCAAAGAAACCAATCAACAATTACTTCTAACTTAATGAAACACTTGTTGCACGAGGCCCGGGCTATACGACCAGCTATAAAATCTCATAAAATAAAATAAAAAAATTAAAAAATCCAAACATTCGGAATTTTATGTTGTAAGATTCTCCTGACTTAACGAGACACATGTTACACGACACCCAGGCTTACGAACCCCGGACTTACGAACCCCAGACTTACGAACCCCGGACTTACGACCCGCTATAAAATATCATAAAATAAAAAATGTAAAAAATCCAACCAGTCGGTATTTTATTGTATACGTTTTGGCTAACTTAACGACACATATGTTACACAACTACCAGATTTACAACCATCGGACCTGGGCAACCCGCGGCAGTGTAATGATTAGCAAGCTTGCCTCGCTAGCATAATTATGAATGAGTAGTGAGTTCGATCCTCACTGGAAGCCCTATACTTTCGGCGTTGTCCCACATCTAAGCTACGTTTGGAAAATCGCTACAACCATCGGACTAACGAACCGGGCTTTACAACTTGCTATAAAATCTCATAAAACTGAAAAATCGGTCATGTCAGTATCTTATGTTGTACCTTTTTCCTAAATTAACGACTGGCCTGTTACAGCATACCCGGACTTACGACTATCTATAAAATTTCATAAAATAAAAAAATAGAAAAATCTAACGAGTCGTTATTTTACGTTGTAGGTTTTTCCTAACTTAACGACGAACCTGTTACATGGCACCCGGACTTACGAATCCCGGACTTACGACGAGTTATAATATCTCATGGAATAAAGAAAAATAAATAAAATTCAACAATTTAGTATTTTACGTTGTACCTTTTTCCTAAATTAACGACTCACCTGTTACACAACTCTCGGACTTACGAACCTGGACTTACGACCGGCTATGATATCTCATAAAATAAAATAAAAAAATTAAAAATCCAAGCAGCTAGTATTTTACGTTGTACATTTTCCCAAACTTAACGACATATATGTTACACGACTTCCGTACTTACAACCACCGGACTTACGAACCCCGGATTTACGACCAGCTATAAATTCGCATAAAATAAAAAAAAAATTAAAAAATCAAACCAGTCTGTATCTTACGTTGCACATTATTCCTAATTTAACGACACACATTACACGACTCCCGGGCTTACAAACAATAGACTTACGAACCCCGAACTTACAACCGGCTATATAATCTCATAAAATAAAAAAATCCAGCGAGTCGGTATTTTACGTTGTACGTTTTTCCTAATTTAACGATACACATGTTACGGACTTACAAACCTTGGACTTATGACCAGTCATAAAATCTCATAGGAAAAAATTAAAAATCCAACAAGTCGATATTTCATGTTGTACGCTTTTTCTAACCTAACGACACACATGTTATACGACTCTCGGATTAAAAAAAAAAAAAAAAACAGACTTACGACCAGCTATAAAATCTTATAAAATTAAAAAAAAAAAAAAATAACCAGTCGGTATTTTATATTGTACGTCTTGCCGAATTTAACGACACACATGTTACACGACTTCCTGGTTTACAACCCCTGGATTTACGAACATTTATAAAATCTCAGAAAAGAAATTTAAAACATTCCAACCAGTCAGTATTTCACGTTGTATGTATTTTCTAAATTAACGACACATATGTTACATGATTACGAACCCCGGACTTACAAACAGCTATAAAATCTCATAACGTAAATAATTACAAAATCCAATTAATCGGGATTTTACTGTGTACGTTTTGCCTAACTTACCGACACACATGCTGCACAATTGTTCGACTTACAACCACCGGACTTACGAACTCCGCCCTCACGACCTGCGATAAAATCTGATAAAACTGAAAAATCCAACCAGTCAGGATTTCACGTTGTACGTTTTTCCTAATTTTACGACACACATTTAACACGCCTTCCAGATTTAAATCAACAAACTTAAGAAGCCAGGATTGACAACCAGCTATAAAATCTCACAGAAGAAGAAAAATTAAGCATCCAAACAGTCCGTATTTTACGTTGTTTGTTTTTTCTAATTTAGTGATACACCTATTACACGACCTCCACGGACCTACAATCATTGGATTTACGAAATCCGGACTATAAAATCTACTATAAAATCCCATAAAATAAAAAACATTAAAAAACTAACCAGTCGGTATTTTTAAGTTTCGTAACTTAACGACACACATGTCACACGATTCTCGGACCTACAACCTCTGGACTTAAGAATCCCGGATTTACGATCAGCTATAAAATCTCATAAAATAAGAAAAAATCTAAACAGTCGGTATTTTACGTTGTACGCTTTTCCTAACTTAACGACACACCTGTTACACGACTCCCTGTCTTACGATCAGCTATAAAATCTCATAAGACTGAAAAAAATCAAACCAGTTAGTATTTCACGTTGTACGTTTTGCTTAACTGAACGTCACACCTGTTACATGACTCCCGTTCTATCGAGAATCTAGAAAGTCTCAGAAAAAAAAAATTAAAAAAATCAACCAGTCGGTAACTTACCTTATACGTTTTTCCTAACTTAACGACACGCCTATTACACGACTCCAGGACTTACAACCATTGGTCTTACGACAAGTTATAAAATCTCATAAAATAAAAAATCAAAAAAAATCAAGAAAATCCAACCAGTCGGTATTTTACGTTGTACGTTTTTCCTAATTTAACGATACACATGTTACACGACTTCCGGACTTACAACCAGCGAACTCCAAACTTACGACCACCTATAAAATCTCATAAAATAAAAGATACCCCAACCAGACAGTATTTTACCTTGTACTAATGCTTTGAGCCTGATTGTTTTCTCCTCGTTCAAAATAAATAAAATTAAGAAATTGACAAAAAATTAAAATGTGACAGTTCTATATTTAAAGTATGCAAACTGGTGTAATATACAGCGCTGAATTTGTAATTTGCTTATTACGTTAACAGTTGCGTATACTACTGTACTATAGAAAAAATTTGGAAATAAATTTTGAAATGTTACAAATAAAAGTCACATTAAATCTATATGAATCTGGTTGAGATAAACAAACAGCTTTATTGAAAATCGACCATACTTTCATTTGGTTGAAATAGCTGGCGCATATGGAATGGAACAACGCAAAGAAATCCAGACTAATATCAAAAAGCATAAGCAACACCAGTGTCGGCGTTACCTTGAACAGCGAACCACAGGAGAAAGTGTCCAGCTTCAAACACTTAGAAGCAACCCTGTCAAAAGATGGCACCTGCAAGGCAGGAATCCGTACACGGATCCTCAAAGCTATGACCAGAGGAAAGGATACAGAAGAACCACACAACTTCCATACCAAGTTCAAGCTCTACAAATCGCTGGTCGTAACCATTCTCCCCGACTGGTTTGAGACATAGACACTCCTGGTTGAGATAGGAAAACATACAGGCGTTCGAGAAAAAAATGCTTGAGAATGCGACTCTGCATCTGGGAATACAAAACCAATGACTATGTACAAAGCAAGGTCAACAGTCTCGTGTGCTGACCTGAATCTCTCTTTGTTAAGCGTCGGAAAGTGACATGGGTTGGCCACGGCATAACAGCTTCTGAAAGACCATCATGCAAGGCATTGTTGAGGGCGTACGCAAGCAGTGGCGAATACGCAAGAGCTGGTCAAAATGTGTATGGATATAACAATGCTGGGACTCATGAGAGCCACCAGCAACAGATCATCCGGAAGCTGGTTGTCTGTTTCTTCTCCCCAACCTCGGTGATTGAAGCAGCCGAGTGAGTGATGATGATAGCTCCATACTTAGCGAGCAGTCTATTAGTATATCTCACGATGAGTGAGACTCTGTGAAATACATATCCTTAGCGATTTTTTAATAAACTAACTGACCCTTAATGCCATTTCCAAACTAGTTTAGGCATGAAGTAGCGTACAACTGTTTTGGGAGCTTGGAGGTCACCTTAGTTGATCGCTTGGTCCTCGGACTAATCGGTAACAGTTACTTTCGAAGACCTACCCGTTTGGAAGGACTTGATATTTGAAAAGACACTTCTGGTGATTCTATAGCTAGAGAGCTACTGAAGTACCCCTCTATGTCACAACTTGTCAAAGGCCTTGGAAATATCTAAGCCACTTGTCCTTGAGATGTGTTCATTGTCTAGTCCCACACTGATTCTGTGAGGAATGGCATTTAGAATATCAGCAGTGGACAGAGCTTATCAAAATCTGTACTGCTTCTCGCTCAAGAGGTGTCCGTTTTGAGGTTATCACAAAATTCTTGCTGATTATAACTTCAGAAAGTGTGCTAATGAAACTGCGGAGGCTAATGGGTCTACACTCGACGAGAATGAGCGTTCACGCGCATTCTTAAAAATAGGGCTTACACTTGATACCTTCCACAGATATGGGAATTAATCCCTCAAGCAACGGTTATTCAAATAACTCTGTTGTGTCAGTTACGTTTGCATAAATTCCTAAACTGCAAATAATATTTTGTTTCTAGTTTTTAATACAAAGTATACAGAATATTGCCGAAATATGTTAAAAATTTTAATTCGTTACTTAGTTAAGAAGACGTCTTCAGGTCAGAATGAAAGAAAAATTCTGACCCGAAGACGCCGCTCTAACGTTGTTAATAAAAAATATGTTTAATCATAAAAACTCTCCCTTTAGGGTAAGAAAATTACTTTGATCAACCAGAATTATCTAAAACTGACAGGAGTTGCATTGA